TTTAACACAACGTGGTGCGATCATCCCCCTTGCGCGGAGTGAGGGTCCTCCGCCTCGCACAACGTGATCTACTCGACCACCAGTATGGTTACCGCCAAAAAAAAAGTCCCGGGGGGGTGGGGGCATCTGCCGACGCCACAGCACTGGACGTGACAAAAGAGGGGCTGGTGGTCGGTGACATCTCAGGCGAGTGTCACAAAGTCGTTGGTCGAGGCGGTGTACAGCAGGCTAGGCGGGGTAGGTATGTTGCCGATACCGGCGCTACCACCCACATGTTCGCGAACTCAGATGGGTTCGCCCGATATCAGGAGTGTGATCCACGTGTGCGCATCGCCGCCGGATAAACCTTCCCTGTTGTAGGGTACGGCGACGTGACGGTCACCCTTAGCTCGCGCGACGGGACAACAGACCTGATCGTGAAACGGGTTGCACACGTTCCCCGACTAGATTACAACCTAGTATCTCTCACTTCCCTCTTCGACGATGGGTTCGAAACCAAAACCCTAGGCAAACACGAGTTGGAGTTGGAGAAAGAGGAGGGGAAGTCGGTGTACGCCCCCCGATGCGGTAACCCATACGTCCAAAACAGTTTCCGCACACACATCGAACATGCCTGTGCCGCAATTGCTCCTGGCAAAAATAAAAGCGTCCAGCACCCCCGTTGACATCAACGATTTCCACTGCGCGCACGGCCATTCCCACGAGGTGCTGCTGAGGACCACGGCGAAGCAGCAGGGGACGACGCTGGTGGGAAAGCTCCGGGAGTGCCTGGGGTGCTCGACGGCGAAGCGGCTTTCCAAGCCCATCCCCAACAAGACGTCGACCCGAGCATCGCTGCCTCCCCATCGCAGAGGAGGAAGAGGAATTCGCGACTGAGGAGCACGAGGTTGGGGAGGGCGCGTGGAGCCAAGTTGGAGGGAGGATAGAGGGAGAACGTGTGGGTGGAGGACCAGGTTTCAACCTTGGCACGACGGGAGCCCCAGGGCCCGCGGGGCCGCCCGCGCGCGTAGCGGCGGCGGCGCCGCCGCCCGCGCCCCCTCAAGCAGGGAGGGCGAGAGCGTCGCCCCATCTACCACGTCGGCCGGCATGGCCGATGTGGGCGGCGGCGAGGACGACCGCCGCAGCAGCAACAGCGGCAGCAGCAGCGACAGCGACAGCGACAGCGACAGCGACAGCGACAGCGACAACGACAGCGACAGTGACAGCGACAGCGAGACGGACCTCCCGGCGCTCCGCGGGCCAGAGGCCCGGTGTCCGGCGGAACTCACCAGCCTCCGCACCANGGAAGGGCTAGAGGCGAGGGCGGTGCGAGAGTTGCTGTTCGAGCGCGCGAAAGAGGCCCGCGCTGCGCGCCAAGTGGCGGAGGACTTCCTGCTGGGTGCGGTGGGCCTCATGCTCAACTCGCCAGACGCCTTCGAGACGGCTGTGGCGTCCTACGAGCAAAGTGAATGCCCCACAGGACCGAAGCGAGATGACGAGAAGGAGGGGAGTGGCCGGTGAGGGAGGCCATCGGCAGCGTGATGTAGGTGTCAACGTTCTCGCGTCCAGACGTCTCGTTCGCCGTGCGTGCGGTAGCGCGCCACGCCCACGCCCCGGCGAAGAGGCACTGGGATGCCATCCAGAAGATCCTCGGCTACTTGAAAGGGACGAGGGACCGCGGCATCGCCTACCGACGGGGATCGGTGATAGGGTTGGCCGTGTACGTAGACGCTAGCTACGCCGACACGGAGGATAAGCTTTCGGTGTCAGGGTTGGCGACGACGGTTGGAGGTACCGTAGTCAGCCATGGTAGCAAGACACGGAGCATCGTGTCTTTGCCTTCGACGGAAGCCGAATACATTACTGTCGGGGAGGGCGTCAAGGAGGCGTTGCTTGTGCGTGCTGTGCTTTCGTTTGTTGCCCCAGAGACCGGTGGTAGCAGCATCCAGGTCTTTGAGGACAACCAGGGGGCCATAGCGTTGGTGTAGAACCCCCACAGCTCAGGTCGCACGAAACACATGACGTGAGATTTCATTTCATCCGCGGATTGTTTAGGTCGGGGGATATTTTGGTCAAGTTCGTTCCGACAACGGAGCAACACGCGGACCTCCTACCCAAGGCCCTTAGGAGGGCTAGTCTGCAGTACCTCCGGCCCAAGTTGATGAATTTGCCGGAGTAGCTGTAGCAGTTTCTAGCACTTGGGAGAGGTCATGTCTTCCATGCGGGGTAAGGTGCATAACTGTTGCGGTCTGTGGACCAATGGCAGGAGTAGGGGGCGTTGGAAGACCATCGTCCGGGGGAACGTAGTTCCTCGCGTTCTTGTCTTCGCCTTGGCCTTTCTAGTAAGGGCGGTCGTTGTGGTCCGCGGTTTTTGTGGTGGTAGTTTATTTTTCGAGGGGTTTTGCCCGCACGCCGGGTTTCCCCTCCATATATTACCGTGTTGGAATTTCTGATGTATCCAGGGGCGTTCTCGCCCCATTGATGGTTATTCACTTGCGTGAAGAACCAGGGAGGGTGTTCGTGGGTCTGCGAACATTGGTGTTGGATACATGTGCTGGATGATTTGGTGTCACGCAGACTAGTAAGATTGCCGATTGGTAGGGGGCACCGCGATGATTCACGGGGGCCCTCCTTGCTGTGGGAGCCGCTCTTTGAGCACTCCCCCTTTCGTCCGTGTGAAGGACGGTCGTCTACCTCTCGTGAAGTTAATACATCACCCAAACAGTCTCACCCGATGAACAAGTGGCGTAGGCCGCAGACAACAAATACAACACAATAGCCAGCATCCAGGCACACAGGGACAAGTATTGCCTCTGAAAAAACAGTACTTTTTGATCCCTCTCCGAGGCATTATTTTCTCCTGTTTATCTGGGGTTGGGCTGTTTATTTCTGAGATTAAATACATGCTACTTGTGCTTGCCGCGTGTCTAACGTCTAACTGCAACGTCTACTGGTTCCAGAAACCTGGTGTCCTTTTTTTCGCTCAGCTGTATGGGATGTTTCGTCTATTTCTTCCGTGACAGCGGGAAGAAAACTGCGCCCCTTCTACCTACATGTAGGTTTCGAGACATTACAATCCTAGATAGTTAAGGTCCGCTTTTGTGTGGAAGTCCTTGGTTGGGTCAGGCTCATTCCCGTGTACATTCACGGTATGTTTGGTTCTGTTTTTTCTTCAGGCTAAACGAGAGAGTGGTGTCGTTCGAACAAGCCATATCCGCTCTCGCAGAGAGGAAGGAGGAGGTCAAGGCTCGCCTCGATGCGGAGGTGGTGAGAGAGACACAGCAACACGTACATTCACACCAACGTAGTTGCCGCCGTTGTTGTTACATATTGTTTGTTGTTGTTTTTTACGTTTTTTTTTTTCTGTGTTTTATCTGGTGCGCTTCTTGTCCGAGGTCTTGCTGTTCTCGTCCTGGTCGTCTCGTAGGCGGCACTTGTTGCTGTTTCTGGTTTTTCTGGTGTCATTGCCGTGCGTTGTTTTGTGGCTTACGCTGCCGTTTCTATGAAATATCGAAATTGTTCGGGGTGCTAAAGCAGGACTACTCGGACCAAGCGCCGGGTGCTACGCGTACCTGACCGTACATACTTGGGTACCTTGATCTCGCTTTGCTGTTGCCTTTGTTTTTGTACGTCTGGCTGTCTGCCCATCTGCCGCCTCTTTGTCCTGTTTGCTCCGTTTCTCCCATGCCCTGGTGCGTAGTGCCTGGTGCTGGTACGTTACCCTTTGATTTTTTCTTTGGGCGGGTGTGGGAAGCGTCCTCCTCTATTTTTGTTTTGGTTTTATTTTGGTCGGTTTTTGAGGGCTATTTTCTCGAACGGTCGGTGCGATACCTGTTCTTTTCTTTCTATCATTTTGTTTTCTTTTTCCGAGTGGTTTGTACCCTATTTTTGTTTTTTCTCCCCGCGGCGTCGTATGTGCCGGGTTTTGAGACCACGGGCTCCCCATTTTTTGTGGACTATAGAGCTAATGTGAGAAACAATAACAGCAACAACAACAACAACAACAACAACAAACACGGCGATTCAAGACGTTAACCGTACACCTCAAAGTGTCTTGGGCGTTGAATGATCTTCTGGATTCCCTGGGCTGTAGGCAAGACAGCAGCCTGTGTTTCCCATTGGCCTCGACTATCGTTTCTGTACTCAATCCTTCCTGCCGTGGTTTGCATTTCAAAGGCTGCCACATTGTGTCCTTTCTTGTCCTCTACCGCCTTCATTGTTGCGCTCCTGTATGCTTCATTCTACTCGTGTCTGCCGGGGTTGCGTCAACGAGGCCGCACCGTTTGAGGTAGTCTAGTGCCTAATTGTCGCACTACTTTACTCACCACAATCGTGCAGTACATGAACTCAGGATCCTCTCTCTCTCTCTCTCTCTCTCCCGGACTCAATCGTTGTTGATGAGTGACTTATGTTTCCGCGATGCAAACCAACAGGCCAAAACTGAGAGACTGAGGGATGAGGCTAGGCAGAGGGCCCAGGAGTTCAAGGAGGCGTAGGATCCCCTCGTGCCGCTGCGATGTTGGCGAGAAGCCTTGACGGACGAAAAGAGACAGAAGACAGGTCACACTTCCAAGATTTTAGTATGGTTTTTTTGTCCCAGATACGGTGGAAAGGTATCCCGGTTGCGGAAAGGATGAGGGAATCGTCGTCGAGAGATTGATGAAGAACAGAAGGGACCTTTTTATGAGCTATTTCTCTTTTGCTATCAACCAATACTGCCTCGAGTAGAAACAGCAACCCGTCCCCGAAATGCGTTTTTTTTCGTTTTCGGGTCGCCTCCAACGAGAGGAATCGGAATTCCAAATTGAGTTGGAAGGATGGACCACAGATAGATGGAGAAGGTAGGTAAGTTGCTGAGAGTTACGTTGCAGTTCAATGGCGTGCGACGGTACCGTTTGTCTTTTGTTACTGTTGGTGATTTTCGGTTTTTTGCGGTGTGAGTGTGTGTGTTGGTGTGTATTGTATTTTTTCGCAACCTCACTACCCGAGTGACCTTTCAGAATACGCCATGGTCCCTCTCTCTCACACACACTCTCTCTCTTTGTGTGTGTTTTCCTTCAGAGGAAAAGGACCAAATCTCGGAGAGGCTCAAGTCGGCGAGAGAGGAAGCGGAAAGGCGCGCGTCCGACGAAAGGGAGAGGGCCCTCAACCACGAGATCCCGCGGGTGTGTGTGTATGTGGTGTGGTATGGAATTACCGTTCCGTCAGGGCCATGGGTACGCGCCTGCTGACCCCCGATATTCGGCGAACGAGCGTGAAACACTAGCCCGGGATTGGAAAATTCCTTCGGTAAATAGTGCATTTGATTCTACATCCAAAGTACCTGGGCGTTTGCTGCTGAGAGAAAATGGAGCGGTCACCCTCGCGCGGCCCTCTGCTTTTTTTATTGCAGCCTCCCTCGACGACACGCTCCCGCTTGCGACTGGCTTGTCGTGCCTGTTTTTTTCAAGGCTCCTCTCGTGAACGATTTGTCACTTTGGGAACGTTCCGTACGGGAACCAGCCACCACGGTAATGCACGGTAATATTTGGGTGGGAACTGGCCACCACGGAACGTTCCATACGGGAACCAGCAACCACGGTAATGCACGGTAATATTTGGGTGGGAATTGGCCACCGCGGGAATTCCCGTACGGGAACCAGCAACCACGGGAATTGGTTGGGTGGGAACTGGCCACCACGGTAATGCACGGTAACGTTGGATGGTAGCACCCCCCCCACACGGCGAAGTACAGGGTTCCTTGTCAGTGCGTGTGACACCCAAATATTGTGTCACAAGAAGAAAACAAAACCACAAAGGAGTGAACCTGTAAAGTGTGTTTTCTTCTCTTGTTCAATTGTTTGGAGATTACAGGCGAAATATCTCTGCGCTCCTTGTCAAATTACCGAAAGACGAAAGACGACGAACTATTTCCCGATCTAGTTCTAGAGCTACGCCTCGAAATACAATCACTACCGAAACGTGAAGACCGACGAAGGCACCACACTTATCTGCGAGACGAAGACTACCAGATTACCGGCGACAACGCACACACGCATGCTTAAACCACATGATACCGCCCGTACACTATATTATTCGCCAACAGCAGTTCCGCAGTTCAAAAACAATACTGGAGTAAAACAACACTTAAACACAATATTAGAGTGTCAAGACGACAGCGTCGCCAGCTGCTTCCGCCTCGACTTGTGCAACTTTCTCTTGGCACCGAGCTGCCGCTGCTTTGTTGGCCTCAACGGCGTCGTGAAGGGCCTTGACCTCTGGGATGTACAGCCTGTTGAGTCGGAGGAACATCAGTCGCTCT